TTCATCGTCTCTGTTGAACCTTTTGTTGGTTTAGATGAAGATGAAAACATTTTGTGCTGAGTGTTAAGCCTTGTGTATGAATGTGTAAAAATGACGTCATTGCGGTGTGGGCAGTCGTGCGTGTTGGGTGCGCAACACCCCATTTCGCCTGGCAGTGTGCACGGCACTTTTAATAACATCGCGTGTGGCGCCGCATCCGAAGATGAACGACTTTGAGTCGAATCTGGCCGAACTGGTACTATCTGTACCAGCATGTTTATGATCCTTCTTTACACAGAGACATTTGCATTGATGGGCGGCCATAAAATCTCATTTTGTGAACAGGAACACATTTGCATTAAGCACCTAGTTTGCACTTGTCTAAAGTAATTGGTTACATTTACAAAATAAGCCTACAATAGCAGAAGAAAGCTGGTGAAATTAAGGTTTAAACACTCTCCAATAAGGCTTCAATTGTTTAACTAGTTTACATGCTGTGAAAGTAGGCTACAATAAACCTACTGCATTTACTTATTTATGAATTAGCAATTAATAAGCTACCAATAAACGGCAAACTACTTCTTCACTGCTGATTCCTGGTGGTTTAGAGGAGAATTACTCCGAGTCGCCCCCTGTCGTTTCACAGAATAGCACAACGGCGAGCGCGTCAAGTATAAACGTGTCGTCCGTTTGGAGAGTCAGCGGAGTAAGCGGAGACTCGCGGCTTCACATGCTCCCTGTACTATGTTTGGACTTTTATGTTACTTCCTGTTCGAGTGCCATGTTTGTAGTTCTTTGTAGTTTTTTTCTCGTTGGTCTTGACTGTTCACAGGTGTGTCTTGTTAGCTTGTGTTCCTTGTGGGTATATATGAAGAGTTCAGATGCAAAAGCCTCTAAATGCCATTTGAAATTTTCTTCTTTAATGACGATTTTTATCAAACTTGTATATTTAAGTTCAGTAATGTCACTTAAATGGCAATGATAATTACCTATTAATTGTTATTTAAGTGAAATTACTGAACTAAGTTTGATAAAAATCATCATTAAAGAAGAAAATTTCAAATGGCATTTAGAGGCTTTTGCATCTGAACTCTTCATATATACACTTGTGTTTCCTAAGTTCATTAACAGTTGCTGTCCTTACCTGGATGTTGTGCACTGTAAAGTTCAGTTCCTGGTCTCCTCGTTTTCCTCGGTTCCCCTCATTTAGCTTCACTGGGGAAAAAAAGTGAGGTTGCTGCCTTAAATTCTTTAAGTACAATCAACTTGGATGTTTAAGTCATTTCAACTTAAATTACATTAAAATTTCTTGAGGATTGTTATGTTAGGACTTATTTTCACCAACTTATTTTGATGAGTTAAAGCAATGTGAAAACATATGTTGTCATAACTAATTGATCATATAATTCTTTACAGTGTTTTATTTTTAAGTAAACATAGATCGACCCTGGTTTCCTTTCGTCACTATGAAGTATGTCTCCGTTCCCTCCTCGGGGAATGAGGGTCGCCCTACGCTATCTCACGACCAATTCGTACGAATTCGTACGAGTGATTAAAAAGTGGCTAATTCGTACTAATTCATCGTATGAATTCGTACGATTTGTCTAAACCCATGTGATGGGTAGGTTTAGGGGCGGAGTCTGGGGTAGGTCATTCGTACGAATTTCGAACGAATTTGGTAACACGTAAAATATGTTCGAATTAGCAAAAATCGTACGAATTTGTACGAATTAGCCATCTCGTAAAATTCGTACGAATTGCCGTGAGATCGGGTTGGGGTTACCATACGTAATCGAGGCACTTTCTGTGCTCACAGCGCATTTAGTGAACACATTCACTGTTATCATTACTTTTATTTGTCTAAAGTATGGATATAAATCATGACAGTTATCAAAATTATTTTTTACAAAAATTGTAAAACTGTCATTGTCATTATATAAGCTGTTAAGTCAATACAAAAAAAAGGATCTCCAGATTTAAAAAGAAAATGTTGCAAATATTAAAATCGTGAATATTATTTCATAATTTGCGTTGGCCTTAGTGTAGTGGCTCTATATATATTAAAAAGTGGCTAATTCGTACTAATTCATCGTACGAATTCGGATAATTCGGATAAAATAATGATAATTGGATTCAATTATTATATGATTCATGGTTTTCTCACACAGAGTATGTACAATATCAGCCTTTAAAACGCTGTCATATATTTTAGGAAGGGGTTCCTTATTTTGGGGTCCATGGTTTAAAAATCCCTGTCCTAAAATATTCTACCATTACCTGGATAACAGGATCTTCAAAGACATTCCCTTGGCATTTAGAGGTCTTGCGATACACTGCCGTAAGACCATTTTAGTTTATATTAAAACCTCTTCCACAGGCATACATCATGTTGACTGTAAATGAATTAAACTGAACCGAGTATTCCCTACCGTAGCGTATAGGAACAAAAAAAAAAAGAAGGAAAATGAACCGAGAACCCATTTCTCAAGTTCATTCTCCCATCAGAGCGCTAGAGAGTGCATGTAAATGCACATTACAAACCATTATTCTTAATTTCTAAGACATTATAAGTCACCGAAGGAAACACACTTGCAGCCACTCGTATATTACGAACTGGACACAGATGGGGATGAGACGTGCCAAGCATCACATCGATTCATTCGGAGCCTGACATGTCTCTTCTTCGGGCGTCTTGCTCTTCTGTCGCAGGCGGGTCATAAAGTGCAGATTTCTTTCAGCCATTTTGCGCAGCGTTTTTTTTTTAAAAGTCATTTAATGTGGTGCGGAGCAGTAGGATGACAGCTGCATGCTGGGAGAGCAGACACAGGGCTTTTCACGCCACCTGGGCCGGGCAGAGCAACTGAGCCGTGCAAAGCCTGAATAGAGGAAGTCCAAGGAGAAGTTCAAGCAATCTGCAGTATAGACGAGTTGCCAAAAACTGTTGACTTCGTTGCATCCGTGCCTGTGTTCGGCGCCCAAGATAAGGCTTTAGAGGGGCGACGGCACGTGAATGAACGCGTTTGCATAATCCGCAGTGAATTACTCTGGATATCATCTTTTAAAATCAGCATTTTTTTTAAATGCATGTTTATATGCGGGGGAAGAAAAAAAAAAGACACTGCCACCAAGGACAGTTGGTCTTTTCAACAACTGTGACAACAATATAATTTTCGAAAGTTAATCACAGCGCACTAATGCATTTACAAATAAGGATTTTGTCTTCTTTATAATGACATGCTTAACCTGTATTTGCTGGCGCTCATGGCTATTTATTATGCGTTCTGGTCTGTGTACAGGAACTAAGTTAATCCTTTTAGCAAACCCCATACAAACCAATTTAGACCTGTCAGTCACTGCCGGTCAATGCCATTTTGGATTATTAAAAAAAATCCAGGGGTGCTATTCTACACAATGACCAAGTGCAAATAGCCTGCCTCGATATCAGAGGCCACCCACCAATGCTTGGTTAAGCCAGACAAAACCACAAAGGTGTAAAGAGTAAACCGTACGTCAGTCACCAATTGAGTTTTAACATACTGAATGTAGGCTTAAAGATGCTTTAGTCCTCAACAACTAAGAGAAATGCCAGTGAAAAACAAGAAACAGTTGATCACATGTTTATTTTCCAAAATTTAGATAAAACTGAACACCTCAATATTGCAATGGGGTTAATTAAGGAGCGACACAACAGCCTCATTAACTTCTACAAAAACTCAAGTACTCAAAGAGCTTAAAGTTCCCCTGTGGTGAAAATCCAGCTTTTAATGTGTTTAATGTGTCTATGTGGTGTTTTTAATATGCTTTAAGGCAAGCCATATGTAAATTCATAAGTGGACAGCATTGCTAAGTATTCCCTCCTTAAAACTGCAGTGAACCAAAGACAGTCTCAAAAACATACTTTGAAAACGCTGGTGTTTCTGACGTCACAAACGACCTTGTAACCGTCAACCAGTGGATTTCTGAGTGAGTGAGTGGAGGCGGGGCTCATTTGCATATTCATAGAACCGTGTATACAAAATTAGGCAAGGGTGTCGAGTTACCTTCAAGCTAGGGCATGAAGAATTTTGGGGGAAAAAAACATTTAAATATGTAATTTTGGTGATCAAAGATGAGTTTTAAGAGATACAATTATAGACTTAAGTAAACCAAAAGTTCTCTTCAATATAGTGCATGAAACATTGTTAAGTAAAATGAAACAGTCAAAGCCTACTTACACTGAATCCACGTCCTCATCTCATATACGAAACACCTGTGATTCGGCAACTACCTGCTAATGCAAACACACTCGCGTAAAGTAGCTTTGTTGACAAGTTTGGGTGAGTAAGGGCGAAAGGCACAAGATATGCAATTCGACAGTATATGCCAATGTTGCTTTCAATAATAATAAAAAACATTTGCAAAAAGCCGATCCATTTTCCATGTTGATAAGAGCATTAAAATGAGAAAAAATAATGGGATAAAAAGAAATCAAGAGACTAAGAATAGATAAAAATGTGCGATTAATCACGACTTAACTATGACAATTAAGGCGATTAATCACGATTAAATATTTTAATCATTTGGCAGCGCTACAATTAATCCAACTTTTTTATATATACATTTGATTCATAAATATTAAATCATTTTTTGACCTGATTAAAACCAGTTCATTTAAATTTCTGGATTTTTTAGTGTATGCACGATGCAAAAGTTTCACACCCGATACTATATGTGTATTTGAACACCGCTATATCGAACAATCAATGATCTGTTTTATATTCAACTCAGGTTGCATTGCAGATATTTTTTGGCGAATATTTTTTGCACTTTGCACAATAGGTGTTTTTAAACTGCTGTTGGACAACCTAGAGATCTAATCCAAAATGACGAAAGTCACATTAATTCTCTTTGTGTATATATACATAACACTTCATTTGTGTAAAATCGAATACGAACTCTGAATGTATTTTATGTGGCAGCATGTCAACACCCATGAAGCTCTGGAGTGTGAGCTAACACAAAAATGATTGTTTTCCTGCCAGGATTTTCCATTCTTCAAGCCATAATGGAGGCCGCAGTGGCAAACAACTGGCAAGTTACCGCGCGCTCAGTGGGCAGCATCACCGACCCCCAAGAGTTTCGCCGCATCATTGAGGAAATGGACAGGAGACAGGAGAAGCGCTTCCTCATTGACTGTGAAGTGGACAGAATCAATGTCATCTTGGAGCAGGTAAAGTGTACATCTCCCTGCTTTCTCTTTCATGCTCGGCCTGGCTGGTTTGACGTCTCTTCCCTACCCATAAACCCCTGCATCCGAAGACTTGTTCATTTGGCAGGAATCTAGTCCATGATTTATTCATTTTCCTTAAAGGGATACTTCAGGATTAAGCTTTGTATTAGTAGGAAACCTATAGTATTTTCGAATTACCGTGCTTTCTACCCTCATATCCCCCTGAGACGAGAGATTTATGTATTTTTTGTCCAGAGGCTAAAGACTACAGTCAGTAGTAGGGTCTGTCCCACATGTTCTCAACCCACTCATAGAGGGAGGATCTCACTCACAGAATGAACACATAGTGTCGGCCATCTTTGTTTTTTGAAGCTAAGTGTAGCAGGCTCTTGTTCTGTGGAGAAAGCTGAGTAGTAGGGGTTACCGTCCTCTTTTTCCCGGACATGCGCGGCCGTCGATGTCCGGGATTCAGCTTTTGCTTTCTGCAGTCGCCATTCATTGTTTACATGCACAGCTTTTGTTTCAGTCTAACTGAATTCATTCCGATTGGTGAATCTGACTGTAGTGTTTGCATGAACGCTAAACAAGTGATCGGTTGATGTGAGTTTTAACACTTTAGGCGCCAGAGGGTTTTTCCAAAAACATTCGATTTTTTTGACATCTTAATTTCAAAAGACTATATCTTAAAAGTGAAACAAGATAGATACGTTCTGTAAATTAGAGAAATATTAAGGATGACCCAAAGTTTATATAGGGATTAAATTTCCCCATCTAATTTGCATATTATGACGTTATATGGTGGCAGAAATCTTGGATTATATAATTTTCATGAAAAGTTTAAATGATAAAATGCAGCACTTCTTTCCCCCCAAAATGTCCATCACCTTCTGTATGCTGTATTGCACAATACTGAATGCTCAGGTATATAGTAAGTAGTAAACAAACTGTGTAAATCATTACTAATAAATGGTAGAACAAACCGTATGCACCGTATGTAGTGCTTGGCCTTTTGCTGTGGAGATTTTCCATTTACTACATACAGTAGGCACTCTGAGTCCATGTATGGGGCATTTATTATTCATATGACACACAAACACAAGTAGACAAGACCTGTTTAGTTCAAAAGATCACTCGTTAGGGCAAAGCGCAGATCATAAGTGATGATACGAGCCGCGCGATCGCAGCCAGATCTGCCTCGCGCGCGCCAAATATGTATACTATTGCGACTCCCCACCCTGCCTTCACGTTACCCCCTATCTGTACTATGAATACTTCGACCTCGTCTAACCTACCCAGTGATAATAAACAAAGTCTCCACCACAATACTATCTCCCGCGGCCCTCACTCGTCTCGCTCGCCACAGTAAACATGACTCGCGCCGTTCTCCCGCGGCCCTGATTCGTCCCGCTCGCCACAGTAAACATGACTCGCGCCGTTCTCCCGCGGCCCTCACTCGTCCCACTCGCCACAGTAAACATGACTCGCGCCGTTCTCCCGCGGCATTCACTCGTCCCGCTCGCCACAGTAAACATGACTCGCGCCGTTCTCCCGCGGCCCTCACTAGTCCCGCTCGCCACAGTAAACATGACTCGCGCCGTTCTCCCGCGGCCCTGATTCGTCCCGCTCGCCACAGTAAACATGACTCGCGCCGTTCTTCCGCGGCATTCACTCGTCCCGCTCGCCACAGTAAACATGACTCGCGTCGTTCTCCCGCGGCCCTCACTAGTCCCGCTCGCCACAGTAAACATGACTCGCGCCGTTCTCCCGCGGCCCTCACTCGTCCCGCTCGCCACAGTAAACATGACTCGCGCCGTTCTCCCGCGGCCCTCACTCGACCCGCTCGCCACAGTAAACATGACTCGCGCCGTTCTCCCGCGGCCCTCACTCGTCCCGCTCGCCACAGTAAACATGACTCGCGCCGTTCTCCCGCGGCCCTCACTCGTCCCGCTCGCCACAGTAAACATGACTCGCGCCGTTCTCCCGCGGCCCTCACTCGTCCCGCTCGCCACAGTAAACATGACTCGCGCCGTTCTTCCGCGGCATTCACTCGTCCCGCTCGCCACAGTAAACATGACTCGCGCCGTTCTCCCGCGGCCCTCACTCGACCCGCTCGCCACAGTAAACATGACTCGCGCCGTTCTCCCGCGGCCCTCACTCGTCCCGCTCGCCACAGTAAACATGACTCGCGCTGTTCTCCCGCGGCCCTCACTCGTCCCGCTCGCCACAGTAAACATGACTCGCGCCGTTCTCCCGCGGCCCTCACTCGTCCCGCTCACCACAGTAAACATGACTCGCCCCGTTCTCCCGCGGCCCTCACTCGCTCCATTCTCCCGCGGCCCTCACTCGTCCCGCTCGCCACAGTAAACATGACTCGCGCCGTTCTCCCGCGGCCCTCACTCGCTCCATTCTCCCGCGGCCCTCACTCTGCAAATCACTGCAACTCTTTTGGTTGCAGTGATTATTATGTTTCTAGCATGTTATATGTTTGGCAACAGTTCTTCTAACTCTAACTGAAGGAGTGTGTAGCTTTTCCTTTTTTATACAGCCATGTATAAAGACACATCATGTTCATATTCCAGGATGACAATATCCAGATTCATTAGATTCAGATTGTGAAAAAATCTTTTGTACACATGAATCCAGAGTTTAAATTCAGTGAAAATGTTTGGGATGTGGTGAAGGAGACTTTACAGAGTTCTGGACTCTTGCCGTGACAATACAAGAACTTAAACCAAAAATGCACGCAACTCTTGTTATTTCCAACTCTTGTCATGTCATAAACATGCATAAAGCATGTGTCATGAGATGATTATAAAGGTGTCATGTCACTCGCTCCATTCTCCCGCGGCCCTCACTCGTCCCGCTCGCCACAGTAAACATGACTCGCGCCGTTCTCCCGCGGCCCTCACTCGCTCCATTCTCCCGCGGCCCTCACTCGTCCCGCTCGCCACAGTAAACATGACTCGCGCTGTTCTCCCGCGGCCCTCACTCGTCCAGCACGCCACAGTAAACATGACTCGCGCCGTTCTCCCGCGGCCCTCACTCGTCCAGCTCGCCACAGTAAACATGATGAATGGCGACTGTAGAACGCAAAAGCCCAATCCCGGACATTTTGGGTGATCTCGAAACACATTTTTGGGCAGACTCATCACGGAGACTCACTAGTAGCCTACTTGTTGTTTAACTACTGCGCTCTGTTACCGGTAGGCGTGGCCTCCTAGGGCAACGAAGCAAGTGCATTCTGGGAGTTGTTGTCTTTCATCCACATAAGCCAAAAATACATTTTATGGCTTTTCTGTCTAGGAAGCTCCAAATTCAAAAATAATTTCACATTTCTTCTACATAAATGAGTCATGTTAAATCACATCCATCTTTTCAGAGGTGAAGTATCCCTTTAAGTCCATCACTCTACCTGTGTGTTTTCCACATGGATGACCTGACAGATCTGTAGACTGAATGGCTAAGCGGATATATTTTCCCGTTCTCTCGGTTCTCAAATAGATCTGTGTGGCTCTTTGATGCGTGTCTGTGAAGGGTAATCAGCCCCTGAATTGGAATGTCCTCGTTAGCGCTAATTTAAATGTATTAGCTCCAGTAGCACAATATCTCATCATTGAATTTTTTTGTTTCGCTTGCTTTTATGAATCTGTTCTGCCACTAAATTTAATCCATAATATTTAGCTTTCATTTACCATGGGCAGCATAATTCAGTTTTCTTTACTCTGGCAAATTGCACAATTTATGTTGTCATTGCTCTGTTTTGTTTTTGAAAAAGACCAAAATGGCTACTATAAATCAATAGAGTGCAACAGAGTACCCACTTTTTCAGCAGCCTGGCTTCTGAAAGTATTTGTTTTTTTCATTCATTTTCTCCATAGGGATTTTCTGAGAATCTTTCAATAGAGCTCTGAATCTCAAACCAAACCAGTCGGCTTTGAGATGAATCACAACATTACAACATACACTTGCCCGGCCAAAAACAAAAAGTCACTGTTTGGATTTAAATTGGCAAACACTTAAGAGTCTATGACTGGATCATTGTTGCAGTGATTATTATGTTTCTAGCATGTTATATGTTTGGCAACAGTTCTTCTAACTCTAACTGAAGGAGTGTGTAGCTTTTCCTTTTTTATACAGCCATGTATAAAGACACATCATGTTCATATTCCAGGATGACAATATCCAGATTCATTAGATTCAGATTGTGAAAAAATCTTTTGTACACATGAATCCAGAGTTTAAATTCAGTGAAAATGTTTGGGATGTGGTGAAGGAGACTTTACAGAGTTCTGGACTCTTGCCGTGACAATACAAGAACTTAAACCAAAAATGCACGCAACTCTTGTTATTTCCAACTCTTGTCATGTCATAAACATGCATAAAGCATGTGTCATGAGATGATTATAAAGGTGTCATGTCAGTCTTGTGCACACCCCTTCAAGTAAAGCGTTACCATTCTTACATAAATGTTCATGTCGAATTAAATGAGACAATTTATATAATCCTACAATTTTTTTTAAAAACAGACAAATTCATTGGGCTTGCGTGTCTTGAATGAGTCCCACTGTGGCATCAACAGAAAAGAATACAGTTCCTCTTCTCATGGTTGCTAATTTTTCCATTGAGAAAATGATTGGAAACCCTATTGTTGTGCTCTGTTGCCAGCAAGCCAAATCAGCGTGGTTTCCTCGACAAAACCCTAATAGGATGTTTTTCAGTTGCTTTTGTATTATTGCAGAAAGATGCAAACCACAGCAACACACAATATCTCAGACTGTATGATGGCAAATCCAAATTTTGCAACTTTCAAGTGATTTGTTACTAGTAGGGGTGTAACGATACACAAAAACCGTTTTCCCACGGTTTTGACATCTCAGTTCGGTTCGGTTTAGAAAGCTAAAATTGCTTTCTTTTTTTTTTTTTTTAAACAGTGGTTTAATAAAAAAAAATGTCTTTGTCTTTAAATTAATTCAATTACAATTCAACGTTTCACAAGGATT